GGCCTCCAAAGTCCTGGACCCGGGGGGGGGGGGGGGGGGGGGAGACTTGCGGCGGTAAGGTCTTTTGTTTCGGAATGGCCAACGAGGGATTATTACTCTTCCATATTGAGTGTTCTTTATAGCTCCCATTGCCTTGTGGGAGGAGGAGGCGTGGCCACAGGTAGTGACAAAGTAACAAATGGCTTCCATGGCTTACCAAGCTTCCATGGAGACCAACGGTTGGGTGGGGTGTCACCTTTTCTTAAGGTAGTATGCTTGAGAAAGTGGTCCTTGGTGTTCCCCAAAACATTGGTCTCTATTGAATTTTAGTACTTCATGGAATCCGCCTATTTTCTGCTTCGGGTTTCCTTGCTGGAGATTCATCTTCTCTATTCGTTTTGGTGACATTGTCACCGGGGCAGGAAGTGATGGGGAATCCAAATTGTTAGATGCCACGAGCAGCTACAGAGGGGAAATCTTCCTATAGGGAGCTATGCTCCAGTGACAACTGTCTAAAAGAAGAGGTTCTCTTACTTTGGAATTATTTTTACTTTCACTTTCTGTATTGTCTCCAGAGCAGGAAGTGAAGGAAAGTCTTCCCAATGGGGAGAAAGAAATGTGGCTATAGATGGTCTGTAAATGCATGGCCCCATAGATGGGCTGTTTCAGTAACCCACCCCCACCCCCATTTTTTTTAATTTTTTGCTATCCAGAGTTAGGTCACCAAAAATGCTGATGAACTTCTGTGTTTTTGCCTAAAAGTATAAAGCATGTGATCTACATATTCTTCTTCTTTCTGCAGATCTGCCTCCCGGATACACCTACCCAGATGTCGTCCAGTCCTATACCTCTCCGTCTCCCCGCCACGTGCACTCCGCGGACCCTGCTGACCCCGAAACTATGCAAACGGCATCCACGGCGGCAGAACCCGAGCAGTCCAGGACGTTTACCCCCTCCAAAAAATCCCCCTGCAGCATGTCCGTCATGGAGGACCCGCTGGAGTCCAGCGAGGAGTTGCCCCGGTTAGGGGAGACGGACCTGAGCGAGCTATGTAGCCAAGAAGCCCCGAAGTCCCCGGAGTGCGCGCAAGCCCCAATTGGCGAGAGCCTGGACGAGCCTAAGGAAGACGCAAAGGCGGAGGAACCAGCGGAATCTGAAACCGCCTCGGTCGAGGAGGAGGCGGCGGGAGGGCGCGAGGACCGTTGCGGCTTCCAGGCCGCGTCTACGGAACAGCTGCCAAATGTTTTGGTGGGGTCACCCGCTGTCCCCGTCGCTGCCGAAGAGGAGGAGGACTTGAAGGGCGACGCTGTAGATCAGGCGTTGTTACAGGACGTGGCGGAACATTTGGAGATGGGAGGAGCTCGGGTGGAAGAGGAGGAGCTGTTCACATCTCCGGCACCTTGCTCGCCGCCGGTCACCGACCACCAAGAGCCCCTCTATAGCCTGGAAGCCCTCATAGCAGCCAGCATCTCTCTGGGAGAACTGCCCTCCATAGAGGACAAGGGGCCCTTCTGTCCAATTGAAGCGTCGTCCTTACCCTCCAGCTCAGGGATCCATGGGATTGCTCTACTCAGCGAGCTCGCAGACCTGGCTCTACAGGACCAGAGGAAAGATTCGAAAGGTAAGACCGTGGCTTTCATTTTTTTTTTTTTTTTCCTTTCGCGTTCTACTTGCAACCAACTGAAACGCATGGAATTGTTACTGTCTCTGAATCCAAAAATGTGATATTTTTTATTTTGGATAAAGTAGTAAGTGGTTAGAACCCGTAAGGTTTTTATTGCTTGTGTGATGGAACCGATATGAGCGCCAAAACCGCGCCTTAGGGGCCTTTTACTGATTCCACAAAAAGTGTCAGGTAGCCAATGTGTTTAGGGGGGCCAAAAACTCCCCCCTTCATCAGGACTTAAACGAGAACTATGAGATGAGTGCAGAGCGAAGCAAAGCTATCCGGCAAGGAGCTTTGCGTGCAGTGTGTGAGCTGAGTGCAGTCAGATGATTGACGGCACCTTCAGCCAATCGGCTCGTCCGTAACAACCTGCCAGCTGTCGCATCGCGACGCGCTGGTTTATACGCGCGAGCCGATTGGCTGAAGTTGAAATTGTTCATCTCGGCACGCTCAGCTCCGCGAGCTCTCGCAAGCTGAGGTGCCGAGCAGAAAATTACATGACACACTGCTCGCAAAGGCAGCGCGCCCCCGCTCCGCGCTGCTTCGCGTGCAGTGTGTCACGGCCTTTAGACTGTCACAGGTCGGCTCAGTAGATCGGGAGGTGAGCGAACACATACCGGCATTCGCTCACCTCTCGATCCTGTCACGGCTCTCTGCCGTGACAGGGGGAGGGGCTGGATTCCCCTCTCCCCGCTCCGATCTGCCAGCGCTGACTGGCGGAACGGACGGGGGAGGGAGCGGGTACAGCTGGCTCTGCCTCTAGATAGGCAGAGCCAGCTGTCACTCACGCAGCTGGGCGGATCCCGACGTCCATGTCGGGATCCGCTCCGGCTGCGGCGTCTCAGTATACCGCGAGCTGTAGCTCCCTATATACTGAGCTTAGGGTGACGGGAGGACGCTAGTTTGTGTCCTCCCGTTACCCTAAGGAGATCTATGGGGAAAAACACTGACCCCATAGTTCTCCTTTAAACAATGTGTCGAAATATTAAATGGACTTGTGAACAATGGAATCTGTTGCAGGAGATATTGTGGAATCTAGCTAGTAAGCCCTTATCGAGGGGGATTTTCCGGTCCCCAAAACGCATTAGCCATCGGTTACTTTTATAGTGTAAAAGACTTTGGACTCCTACGAGGTTTTGGCTCTTATTGGTTCTATCGCATGTGGATTTCTCTATCTAGGAGACCCCCTTATCTTTGAGGGGCCCCCCATTTTGGACCCCAAGCCATCAAACAACTAATGGCTTCTTTCCGCTGACCGAAGTTTTATGTCCAGCGCCTCGTTTTCCCCCCTTTTTTAGGTTTTTGTTGCAAGCCCCACAAAGGAGATTCACTCTGTGTCCTGGGGACCATTTGTCATCAGGAGTGAAAATGTAGTTGTCACCAAAACAGGAAGAGCGTGGGGAAACCCCTGATGAGTTGTGTATAAAATGAAAGAGGAGGTATTGAATGCATTACATCCAGGTGACCCATTTGATGTTGGTATCTGCAGCTTTGGAACATGACGTTCCCACCCCACACTGCTGTAGAGTATTTTGCTGTGTCTTCGGTTTGTCTTCATATTGTAAAATTGATGAAATGGGAAATTTAAAATGATGGGGCGGGGGGGGGGACAATTCAGCATGCATTCATC